ATCACTGACTGTATATAAAGACCATCACTGACTGTATATAAAGATGATCACTGACTGTATATAAAGACACTGACTGTATATAAAGATGATCACTGACTGTCACTGACTGTATATAAAGACACTGACTGTATATAAGCACAGACATTCTGCAGGTAACTGACCAACTCGTCAAGATGTCAGCTCTGCTCCGTTTGTGTTTCTTATTCTTCGCCTGTTTCCGGCGATGTGGTTGTAAGTTTCTCAGCAGCGACACCTACTGTTCAGGAGAAGACTGCACCAAGTCACCAAGTCAAGTATAAACTGCTTTAATCGAGAGATGACTCCGTCTAATGAAACGTGTTTAATATCTTGATGCACAGTGACGTCTACAGGGAACACGACAGAAAGGACCTCGTGATGAGAATGTGAATAAAAACTATGTCGACTTTTAATCACTGAGCTGTAACGCTGGTGCTTCATTAAATCTCCAACCCGGTCTGAAATAAACTGTGATTCATTATTTCTCGTTAAAGCTCATAACTGAAGAGTTGATTAAGCTCAAATGTTTTTGCTGCACAAACGAATCAGTCGCTTTGTTATTAACGGTCTGAGGCCTGTTTGGAAAATGAATCTTTAATTTACATTTCGCCTCCTCGGACTAATAAAAGTTCTGAGACGAAGAAACTTTTGACTAAACTGCTGCAATTTTGTCCTGAAAACATGTACAAATTATATCACATATTATTTAAGTCATATTTTATTACGATTTATTTTAAATTATCTATAACTAAATATTTATTACTTAAAATTTTAATAAAAATTGTTTTACTTATTTTCTGTGTGGAGGATTCTCATACCTGGGCCTCAAGAGGCCTTCAAGGACGCAGTACATCCACACACACACACACACACACACACACACAACGATAAATATCTACAACCATTCTAACGTTTGTCTTTTCATTCTCGTAATTTCACGTTCGCCATCGCTGCTGAAACGTTTCCTGTGTGAAACTCTGCCGTCGTCATATCAACCGGTTGTGAGCGATGAGCTCCTGAAGCAGAACCACAGAACTTACCTGTCGTCAGCAGTCCCATCAAACTTTTCCAACGGCCGTTACTGATTTCTACTGGTCTCGTCTGCTCAGTCGGGGTTTGGTTTCTGGTTCTGGATTTGCCTCTGGTTTCTGGTTCTTGTGTCTCTGGTTGGGTTCTGATTGGTTGGAGCAGGTTCTGGTTGTAATCCTCTGGTGGATGTGGTGGTTACAGCAGAAGCAGGAGGACTCTGATGAAGTCGACGTTGTGGTTCCTGTTGCAGAACCTGGAGCAGAACTTCGTAAAGTGTTTTTGTGGCGTTTCTGTCCTGCAGCAGCGTGAGAGGTCTCAGAGCTTCAGATTGTATTCTGGGAGCTTCCCCGCCCATCCTGTAGAGAAGGAAAAGAGGGAGGAAGAGGAAGATAGGAAGGAGGTGGGTGGGAGGTAAAGGAGAGGGAGGCCAGGATATTAGGAGGGGGGAGGAAGGGGGAGAAGAAGAATTAAAAAAAACATGTCAGAGGAGAAGAAGAGTTTTTTAGCTGTGTGGAGAGTTTTAGATAAAACTGGGTCAGACACGGTTTGTGTGGAGGCCATTTCAGGTTCACTTCTGTTACACAATGTGGAACAGTCGTATCGGTTTTCATGGCAACTGAACGAGCAGCAAACCGACGCTAAGCCGCTCCGATTATATAAAGTTTTAAATATTGATTCTCAGATGAGTTTAAGAGGACGTGGGAGACATTTATCAACGTGCTGAGCAGAGTGAAGTAATGCAGACGCTCGTTTCTACTCAGATTGATCAATTTATTCTGGTGCTTGAAAACCTGTGAGGTCGACACGTTTATCACCGGACTTAAAATCAGTATTTTAGTCTGTGTCGTGTAAGATGGTGACGTTCAGTCTTTCCTGTGTAAAATGACGAATGTGCAGCATCTTGTTAACTTTAACTAAGTTTCACTAAAAACTAAATACTTGATGTTTTGTCAGCATCAGGCCTGAAAAGATCAAACAGACTTGAAGGAAACTGTCCTCAGAGGAGGAGGACATGTGACCGTCACGTCACATTCAAAGAGCTTTGAGTTTCTCAACAGATTGTTCAAGCGTTTTACGAACCTGGACAGTTTTTTCACGATTGTGTGAAACAGCTTCCTCCATTTTGTAATGTGCAGCTGATGAAAGCAGCTCCGTGGTCTGAACATCAGACAGTGACGGGACATGATCAGGTGTAATCTGTCCACTCGTCCTGTTGTTTCTGCTCAGTTCCACAGATCTGATGATCAGCTGATCAAAACGTTCATCGAGAGGAGGATTATCTCAGCTCCAGGGATGTGGATGTTCTGAAGCTGCAGTTTTAATGTGAGACTGTTTGATGAAGGCTGCTGACGCTGCTGATAGAGCAGCAGACTGATGACTGTTGAGCTTATAGTTTTCCACCAAATCAAACGAAACTGCTGTCGCGTGTCGGATCAATAAATCCGATTAGCTCCTGTATTGACACAGTGTGTTGAGTGCAGCTCTGCCTGTTCAAACTCGGTCGTCTCTAATCTCCTGCAGCTGTTAGGTGATTATTTCAAACATCAATCTGCTTCTGCACATTGTTTCCAGAGCAGCTCACTGAAAATATAAAATGTAAATCTGATTCTTTACATCTTAACTTCAGGTTCTGTCACAAGTGAAGTGAGTTAAAGCGTCTCAGTCGCTGCCGGCTCAGCAGCGATGAGGACATTTTATCGGACCGTTGTGATGAAGCCGGAGCTGAGCTGGTGTCTGGGCTCAGCCTCAGAGATCGGCTCAGTGCTGCTCCTCCAGAGGAGTCAGCGTGAGTATCTGAGGAGGATCATCATGATGGAGCGAGTGGACGCTCTGGTGCGGAGCAACGACTGGACTGAACCAGTGTTGTCTGCGAACAGAGTCACAGTGATTCACTTTGAATCTCTGCGCTCAAACCTCCACCGAGGGTCAACAGATCCTGAGGACGCGTCCACACCTGGTTTGTCTCAGATCTTCAGACTGAAGTGAAGAGTCTGAAGCTCTGAAACTCGGTGGAGGTTCCTCCGACCAGAAGAGGAGTTCTGGGTCTGGATCAAACTGAACCTGGTTCTGTTGGTTCACAGTGAAAACACTTTGTTGGACAGTCTGGACTTTTGGACCAATCACAGGAAGTAGAGACACATTAAACCATAGAAGAAGAAGAAGAAGAGGAAGCAGCTGCAGTCTTCACCTCTGACGATAAAATGTCTTAAATGTGGTGCATTTGAACTACTGTGTAGTACTGCAGTACTGTCCTACTGTGAAGTGTGGAGTACTGTGTAGTACTGCAGTACTGTCCTACTGTGAAGTGTGGAGTACTGT